CGGGGCTGGCCGGGGGCTGCGCACTTCCACCACACCGGCGGCGCAGCCCGGTGAGTGAACGCCACGGAACGCCGAGGCCGCCGAGGCCAGCCCATAACCGTACGTAAGGACTTGTCGCCCGCACAGGAGAGAACTCACCTGGAAAAACAGACGGCACTCTAAAAAAAAGTTATCTTTCGATGATAAGGTGTGAATTTTGTTGCCCTCTTCGTAACGTCGGTGTGCCGACATCGACGCCACCAGGCAAGGAGCCGAACTACATTTAGTAACATTTAAAAAACAGTGTTCGAAGTCGCCACCTGCTCTACGTAGTGTTCGTAGTTGTCAGCAGTGTGGGCCTCGCCGGCTCTCAGCCTGGGCGCCCTACCCAGCAGTAGTATTCTGTCCAAGATCTGTATTCCTGGATCCGGATCTCGGATTCGAATTCGTTTGACATGCAAATCCGAGTCGCAGCTGAGTGAGGCGGCACGGCGACTGAACTCAACCCCACCGCCCTCCCCGTCCCTCCCCCTCAGGCCGGTCTTTTGCGTACATACTCCAACCCCACCCCGACGCCAAAGCACCCAAGTGTATTGCACCTCTCTGCATAATAATAATACTTTATTACATCTCTCTCGTTTGATATGAATGAGCTGCTGCTGTGCATACATTCTGTAACGTGCGTGTGTGTCTTCTGTGTGTTGCAGGCTTCCGCGATGCGTTTGAAGCACTCGGTCGGTCCTCTGACCGCAGTGGAGTCTAGACTCAACTAGTAAGTACTCACATTTACTTGCGTATATTTGCTCCATAAGTCCGTGCTCCCCAGAAAATTGCAGGGACGCAGCTCGAAGCTTTAGCAAGTGTAACTGTAGCGGGTGTCCCATATGTGCTGTTCTTTCTTCTAGATTTATTGAACAGAACGCAGGCGTGCGGGTAGACTGCACGTTTTTTGTGGGGGGGAGGGGGGGGGCGCTCTCCTATCTCCACAGTCAGCGCTAAGAAGCGAGTGCAACCTATCCGCCGCTCGCCAGCATCGGCCAGCATCCGGTACAGTATAGTCACAAGAAAGAACGGCATATGAGGCGATGAGCCACCCTGCACGACTTGGAGCGGGGACGGGGGTGAATCGTGAATCAGCCACCTTCTGGCAGAGTAGCACATGACTCACACCCACCACCCACCCGCGGATGAAAAGCTAGGCCCGGCAACTCGGCCAAACGGCAAGGCGCCGGGGCTGCCCGCCGGGCCTCAAACTTGCGTGCGCAACGTCTGCCGTCGACGGAGCGCTCACCCCCCCCCCCCCCCCCCCCCGGGGTGGGGGTGGGGGGGGGGGGGGTCGTAGTGCGTGACTGGTCATGGGAGAGAACACAGGGGGAGGGTGTCCGCCGCCGTTAGCCTCGGAAAATGACTCCCTTCCCTTTCGTATTTTGTTGTGGTCGTGGCCGCGCTGCGGAAGAGAGTGGCTGGCCGCAATCAGCAATGGAAAGATTGCATCGACACGTTTTTCATCGTGTAATAGGGTGCTCCAGGGCGGTATGAGAAAAGGAAAAAAAGAACCACGAAAGTAAGAAATGGCACCTACACGTTGTCGTTTTAGTTTCAGCTGTTGCGTTCTCCCGAAGACTGCCTAAAATA